TTTCTTTCTTTATGCCTATTTTTGACCCATTAAAATTCTTTTTAGAGAAATTTTTTCTTTCAAGAAAAATCTTCTGATTGCAAATCCAATTACGCACACACACACACAGAGCGAAAAAAAAACGAAAGAATTTTGTTCAAATTCAAATAGAAAAAAATTTTTATCAAAAAAAAATATGGATTGGAATATCCTGGATATCCTGGACAATAATCAAACAAAAAAAAAAAAAAACAAAAAGATAAAAATCAACGACAATCATTAACCTTCGACAATCAATTCATCTTTTCAACACACCTACACACCTACACGCAGAGAGAGAAAGAAAATTTTATTCAAAAACAGAAATCGATTCAAATCAAACTTATCATCAACTAACTTTACCATATTATTGTCTTAATAGAAAAAAGCTAATAAATCGTGAATCGATTGAATGATAAGGTGAATTATAGGTAAGGCGATTGACAAGAAAAAAAGAAAACTTGCACTTGACTGGTAAGAAGAAGAAAAAAAAATCATAATTCCTGTCGTTTGAATTTTACTTTTATTATCATTATTATATATTGAATGACGCTATCGGCATCGATTTTTTTTTTTTTTTTGTTGCTTGCTTATTTGATTTTTGTTCTTGTTTCGTTTTGTGTTTTTGGTTTCATTTCCCAATTGATTCTGACATTCTCTATTCTGACTCCTACACACCACCAGCAAACTCCCTCACACACACCTACTCCCACACACACACACACAGGGGGAAAAAACCATATATACCGGCCTTGAACGGGAAAAAACCAGAAACAGAAGAAAAAAAAATTTGTCCGGGATTCGAAATTAGAAGAGAGAGAGAAAAAAAACATTGTTTTGTCTAATCCATCAATGAATGATGATTATCATCATCATCATCACTATGGTTAAACAATCAAACAATTCATATAACGTAAGTTTGTTCGAAGATTTTTTTTTTATATCGAAAAGAAAATTTATCGAAAAGAAAAATCCTGGAAACTTTCCCTGGGTCAATCTTTGAAAATTTATCCGAAAAAAATCAAAAGAAGAAAGAAACTGATATGATTTTTTTTTTGTTCGTTTGCTTGCTTGCTTGCTTGTTTTTTGACGTTTTCGTTTATTCAACACTGGCGTCACCCAGTTTTTCACTGATTCTTTTTCTTCTGACTTTTTTTTACACACACACACAAACATCATCAACAACAAATTTTTTTTCCAAACAAAAAAAAAAGAAAAAAAAAATCCAGGATCGAATCAACCAACCATTCAAATTCAATTCAATTCAACTTTAGTAAGTCAGTCAGTCAGTCATGGTCACCCGAAATAAAAAAAAAATATTATGAATTCCGGGTATAATTTTTCTCTCTCTCTCTCTCTCTCTCTCGACACATTTTTACCGAAAAAAAAACATAACCGAGCATTGGCGCCATCACATCGAATCGAGTTCACCAAAAAAAAAAAGTCAGCCAAAGAAGAAGCAGAATCCAAAACAAAAAAAGTAGCGCGAATCAACATTGAACCAAACAAAAAAAAAATTGACTATTTCGATCCTGGATGACCTAATTTTAGAATATTCTATATTCTTGCTCAATATATGAAACTAACTCTTCGTTTTTTCGGGTTTATTTTCAGCCAAAAAAAAAAAAAAAAAATTCTATATTTACGTTATTGGTTTGTTTGTTTTTAGTATATAGGTTGTTGTTGTTGTTATCATCATCATCATGGCGCCCACGAATTCTGTTGTTGTTGTTGTTGATGTTGTCGATGATGATGATGATGATAATCATACGTCACACATATATCTGGGATTTTGGAATATTTTTTTTTAATGGGAATTTCTTCTTCGTTTGTTTTTACATCCAAAAAAAACATATGAAAAAAATCTGTGCGCGCGAATATGTGATGGCCATGCAAGACAAAAAAAAAAAAAAAATTCCATGGCCGTTTTCTTTTCGGGAACATTGCTGGAAAAGGAAATTTTGGAAACCTGGATGATATGTGATGCTTTGTTTTGTTTTGTTTTGGTTGTTTGTTTTGTTTTGTTTCATTTGCACATCTATTTTTTTCTGGTTTATCAAATTTCCGTTATCTATTTTTCGAGGTTTCGATATTTAGTCGGAAATTTTCCCGAAAATAAAAAAAAAAGTTTCCGAAAATAAAATTTCCGAAAGATTTTTTTCAAAATACAGAATTTTTTTTTCAATACAAAATCAATCATTAAATTTTTTGGCTTGTTACATTTTAGTTAACCCTTTAACAACAAACAAACAAACAGGAAAAAAAATCACTAAAAATTCTTTAGATATCGTATATCACACCTGCTGTTGTTGTTGATAATATCTGTTATGATGATCGTTTGGTTGATGCGCAATTCACTGGATCGATTCCATAACAGAATAACCAACAACAACAACAAGTTTAGCCATTCCGAGACTGACATTTCTGATGTTTTTTTTTCGGCAAAAACAAAGCAAAACTAGGTCTATGTCATCCAGGAATTTATTTTCGTTGTTCCAAATTTTCTTTTTCTTTGTTTTTCTTCTTCTTCTTCTTCGTCTTTTATACAATGCCTTTTTCACACCCACAAGAGAGAGAGAGAGAGAGAGAAGTAATAAACGATGCCGCTACATTTTTGGTGAAGATAACATCACTGGAACATTGTTTTTTGGCGGAACATTTCGGGAACATTGCTGGAACATCAATGCATTCTTGGATATGGATGTGGATTGAGAGAATTTTTTTTTTGAGAAAATTTTCGCAAACCGAAAAAAAAATATTTATTCAAATATCTGATGTGATTGGTTAATAATATATTCTGGATTCAGCAATGTTTTCAATTGAAATTCTGTTCAAAAAAAAAAATTTTGATAATAATAATTTCATTTTGAAAACAAAAAACATTGAAAATTTGAAAAATTTGATGCACGCATGCGCGTTTTTGTCGTCGGTTTTCATTCTGTGATTCTGTTGGGTGGTTGGTTGGTTGGTTGGTTGGTTGGTTAGTTGTCCAGAATTCAATGGTTCATCTGATGATGGAAAAAGAATCCAGCATGCTACCATCATCAACATCACCACCACCACCAACAACAACAACATCATCATAGTGATCATATCACTTGTGCGTGCCTCATTTCATTGAAGAAAATCAAAAAAATTGAAAAAGATTTTTTCTCTCCTTTTTTTGGATTCTGATGTATTAGTTTGGATATTTTTTATTTTTCAAACCAAAAAAATAATAAATTTGCTTTGTTATTTATCGCAAATCTTTTTCTGTCGTTTGTTTTCTGCAAATCTCTCAAGTCGCTTTTCTGTTGCAAATTCTGTTGTTTCAGATTCTGTGAACGAAAGAAATTCTGTTTCAATCATCAACATTATTATCATCAAGTAAATTGGTTTTCTGGTCATCGATAAAATATGGTTTTCTTTTAGCTTTTTTTGATCATTGCAATTTCGATTGCAAGCAATTGCAAACAACAACCACAATATCATCATCATCATTAGACTTTTTTGGGTAAGTAAATTTTATTTTTTAAACATCCCATGTATACATTGCATTTACAAATTTCAAACACAGCAGTGTCCATTCGTGTCCAGCAGTGTTTTTTTCAATTTTTTTTTTTAAATTCTGTTGCTTCTGTTGCATAATGAATATTCTGTTGATTCTGTTTTGTTAATGGTGATGATGATGATGATGATGATTCATTTCACCTTGCAATTCAATTATTCAGCCAGTCAGTCAGTTAGTCAGAAATGGATGTGCAATTTTTTTTCTCCAAAAAAATTATTGCTCCAATTTGAAGCAATTTTTTTTTTAATTTCTTTCAACTCTTTCGACACTTTATTTCTCAATAGCGAAAATTTTAGCTATTTGCATCAATCACTGATCAATCAATCAATCACTGATCAATGAATGAAAAAAAAGTAAAGAAATTTTTCCGGAAAAAAATGAATGTGATTTCTAAGTGCAGAGATTGTTTTCTGGAAAATTTTTTTCAAAAAAAAAAATGACGCAACGCCATCTATTGTTTAGAATTTCAAAAAGAAGATATTTTTTTTTTGTTAGTGATATTTTGAGCAGCAGCAGCAGCATGCATGGATGGATGCATTTTTATTCACATTTTTTCTTTTTTTCTTTTTCAAGAATAAAATAAATTCTCAAATTCTTTTCGATTCTTGATCATCATCAATGGCTGGAAAACAAACATTCAGAAATTTCTTTTTAAAAAAATGATGCTCAAAAGTCTCAGTTTGCTGAGAGATAAATCATTGACCAAAATGTTTGCCGGTTTTTTTTCGATTCTTTCGTTTTGATTTCGTTTTGACCGAATTTCAATTGAAAAAAATCAATCAATCATTATTGAACAAAACAAAAAATTGATCTAAAAAAAACATCAAAGAATCTGTGTCACTGTAGTGTTTGTTTGTTTTTTTGCATATCATCATCATCGACAACGATATCATCATTATCATCATCAGATTACCACCACCGTTATCATATAATTTTTGATTTGCAATCAGATCTTGTCGTGTCTTGTTTTTTGCTTGTATGATGATGATTACATGCACAATACAACATTGAAATCTTTATCATTTTTTGATTGATTTCGAATGCAAAAATCTAAGAAACCAAAAAACAAAAAAAAAAATCGAATGTTTCTTCTGGATATGATCGAATGTTCGATTTGACTGATCAACAACATTGTAATAATAATAATCATACTCGATATTATTTTACAGAAATCATCATTATCGATTTTTTTTTGTTTTTAATATCCAATTTGTAATTTGTAAATCAAACTTTTGTTTCTTTTTATCAAAATTTTTTTACTAATATTTTATTTAATCGAACAGGAATTATTGGAAAACCAACAACGACGACAACAAACAAACATTGCTCAAATAACTTTTATTATCCGGTGGAAACAAAACATTGAAAATTCTCAACGATCATTATCAACGTGTTTATCATCATTATCAAATCAATTGCGCTCAATCTATATAAATCAAGAATTTTAAAGTATTTTTTTATTTTTTATTTTCGATAAAAATTTTGATCCAAAATATTTATCGAAAAAACAAACAAACAAACAAAAAAGCATCTTTTGAATTAACACATAAAATATGTAATGATGAGAAAGCAAAGTAAAACAGGTAAAGATAAATTGGAAAATGTACAAACAACCACCGCAGCTGCCTCGTTAATCGATCCAACATCAACGACGACGACGACAGAATCAATCGCTAGTACGACAGCAGCCGCAACAACAACAATCGCTTCCGCAGCATTAAGTCCTAGTTCACCTGAATCTGAATGTCAAACTAGTTCATTACCTGGTGTGGTTGGCGGTCAAACATCATCATTATCGATGGCAACAACAACAACAGCAACGGCTAGTTCATTTATTTGTGATGAACCAATACCGCCACCAAGTCCATTTGATCAACCATCAACTAGTCGTGATTTTCCATTCAAAGTATGATGTTTTTTACTGTTTTTTCAATTGGATTTTTAATTTGAATTTTTGTTTTTTGTTTCGTTTCAAAAAAAAGGATAAAAAATCATCAATAAGTTCATCAAGTGATTTTGGTTCAAAACCAAAACAGGTAATGATACATTCACCTGGCCAAACAAAACCTAAACCAGCAACCACCCGGAAAAAACCATCAATACAAAGTGGTTTAGATGTTGATAAAAAAATACAAAAATGTAAAGAAGATGGTTGTAAAAGTTTTGATCTGACTAAATCAAATTTATCATCATTACCTGTATCGATACGTGATTTAACACAATTAGTTGAATGTTATCTTTATCAAAATAAGCTAATAACATTACCAAATGAAATTGGTTGTTTGGTTAATTTGGAAAAATTAGCAGTGAATGAAAATTCATTAACAAGTTTACCTGATAGTCTTTCAAATTTAAAACATTTAAAAGTATTAGATCTGAGACATAATAAATTGAATGAGGTAAGTGTTAATCGAAAAAAAACCTGATGACCCCAATAAGTAAATTGATGGTTAATTTTTTTTAAATCAAAGATACCTGATGTTGTTTATCGTTTAACATCTTTGACAACATTATTATTACGTTTTAATCGAATACGTACTGTTAGTGAAGAATTATCCAATCTAACGGTGAGTTTTTGATTGAATTTTGTTCCGAAAATTTTTACATTTTTTTGTTCTCAAAAAAAACAACAGAATCTAACAATGTTAAGTTTACGTGAAAATAAAATAAAAGAATTACCTGGTGGTATTGGAAAATTAATACAATTAGTTACATTGGATGTTTCAAATAATCATATTGAACATTTACCATCAGGTTTGTTTGATTTTTGATTGATTGATTGATTTTTGAATTATAAATCTTATAATCGGAATTCGTTTTTTCATCAGAAATCGGTAATTGTATACAGCTAACAACATTAGATGTTCATCATAATGAGCTTGTTGATATACCAAACAGTATTGGTAATTTAATTAATCTTTCAAGACTTGGTTTAAGGTAAGTAATTTTGTTGTAACTTTTGAATCGCAGAATTTCGTTATTTTTTTTAAAAAAAAAATTTTCATCAAAAAAAAAATCAGATACAATCGCCTTATATCAGTGCCAAGGTCGTTAAGCAATTGTGTAAAATTAACTGAATTTAATGTTGAAAATAATTCATTATCACAATTGCCGGATGGTCTTTTATCTAGTCTTTCGAATTTGTCAACATTAACTTTATCAAGAAATAATTTTACATCATATCCGATTGGTGGTCCATCACAATTTTGTACTGTACATGTAAGTAAATCCTTTCCACTCTGAAATTCAAAATTCAAAAAAATTTTTCTAATGCAGTCAATCAATATGGAACATAATAAAATAACAAAAATACCATTCGGTATATTTTCAAGAGCTGCCAATTTAACTAAATTAAATATGGTTGACAATCAATTAACATCATTACCATTAGATATTGGTACATGGATTAATATGGTCGAGCTTAATCTTGGAACAAATCAGCTGCCAAAAATACCCGATGATATTGAACATTTAGAAAATTTAGAAGTATTAATTATATCAAATAATAATTTAAAACGTTTACCATCAACAATTGGACGATTAAGAAAATTGAGGATATTAGAATTGGAAGAAAATCGTTTAGAATCATTACCAAATGAAATTGGTAAGAAAAAATTTTTGATTGATTGATTGATCGATCATATTGATTTTTTTTTGTTGTCCTTAATTCGTTTATTCTGTTTTGTTTTTTCGTTTTGTTTTTTTCAACAAATATCTAGGTTATCTAAGCGAATTACAACGTTTAGTATTACAAAATAATCAATTAACATCTATACCTAGAGCAATAGGTCATCTAACTAAACTAACTTATTTAAGTGTTGGTGAAAATAATTTAACTACACTTCCTGAAGAAATTGGTTAGTATTATTGTCTCTCTGCATGTGTTTTTTTCTTTTCTTTTCTCTTTTTGAAATTCATAATTCATAATAATGGCCACCATGTAAATGATGAATTGGCCATCCATCTTATCTCACACACACACACACTGTCTGTTGACCGAATTGTGTTTTTTTGGATAACAATCGAATCGATCGACATTCCGATTTGATTATCCACTTTTTTTACACTTGTCTGCCCCCTTTTGTCTATTTCACATTGCTTTTTTTTGTTCTCTAACTTTCTTTTCTTTTCTCGTTTTTTTTATTCATTTATTAAATCAAAACAGGTACATTGGAAAATTTAGAATCATTATATATAAATGATAATCCAAATTTACATTATCTTCCATTTGAACTTGCACTTTGTGCCAATCTACAAATAATGAGTATTGAAAATTGTCCATTATCACAATTTCCAACCGATATTGTTAATGGTGGTCCTTCATTAGTTATACAATATCTTAAAATGAAAGGTCCTTATCGTATGTGATATTCATTTCAAAATTTTAATTCAACAATTTAAAACAAAAACAAAAACGACATTTGTAAATCCTCATCATCATCATCGTTATTTCAATTCATTCATTCAATATACGATTCCTGAAATGGAAAACACCGATCAAGACAGTAAACAAAAAAATGCTTAATTTCTTTTTAATTTTTCGCTGAAGAGGAAATCCAAACCTTTTCGCCTGATTATACTACTGGATAAATACGTTTTTTTTTTCTCATCATTATCATCATAATCATCATCATAATCATTTCCTACCTGTTCAATCATCATCATTCTGATCATTATTTGTTCCCATCATCATCATCATCATTCATTCATTCATCATTATTATATGGATATAATCTATACATTTTTTTTCAACAACAACAACGACAAAAATGAAACAAAAAAATTACAAAGAAATTTACAAACAAAAATTACAAAGAAATTTACAAACAACAAAAATTACTATTATCATCAATTGATTCCTCGCTTCTTCTTCTTCTTCGTTTCGTTCATTTCGTTTCGTTGATTCATCAATCAATCAAACAAAATACAAAATCATTATTATAAATATTACAAAATCACCAACAAAAACAGAAATATATTCTTTCTCTCTATACATATGGAAAAATTTATATTTATAACGACGATAATAATGCCATACTTATACATATATTTTTTGATGTAAAAGGATTTTTATTTTATTTTTTGGAATCCCATTTTTTCCTTCACCTGTTTTGTTGATGATTTTTTTTTTGTTAACCCCTTATTGTCCTTGTCCCTACTGAAACTAAGAAAAAAGAACATCAAACATTATTATTATCAACGACAAAATGCTCTGATAAACTCTGATGACTGAAAATAGAAATCATAATCGAAATAAATCCAATTTCAATCACAAAAACAGAAAAAACATAGGTACAAACAAACAAAATGACAAATGTAATTTACAAAAAAAAAGACAAAATTTTACTTTTTTTTTGTTTTTCCTCGAATATAATTTGATTTTCACAAATGGAATTTTCCGTTCGTTTATTTTCGCTGATCTTTGACAAAACTGATTTGGCTGACCATTTTTTTTTTTTTTGTTTCCAAGTAGTTAATGGCTTTCGATAATAATAATAATAATGACTGTTACAAAAAACAAAACAAAACAAAGTAAACATTTTAGTCGATTAGAATTACCGAATTATAGAATTACCGAAAAAAACAGACTTTACGCTTTGAAGATGACATTCATTCATTCATTCATCATCAAATTTCAAAAATGTAAAAAAAAAGAATTAACCCTGAATTCCTCTTTTGGAACATTTTCTTGTTAAATTTTTTTTCTTCTTTTTTTCGAATCAAAAATCCAAAAAATGTGAAAATAATTCATCATCATTGAATCATAATTTTTGTTTCCCTTGTTGTTCGTGATTATCGTATATTAATAATAATAATAACGGATTTAAAAAAAATTGAATAAAAAATAATCTTTATTTTCAAAAAAAAAGGAGATGATTCGTGTTTGTTTCATAAAGGAGATTCTTCTTCTTGTTGTTGTTGAAAGATTATCCTAATCATTATTTTTTTCGGTAATGATGGCAGGAAAAACAAAGTTTGTTATCGGTTTGTTATCGGTACAGGAACTATAAATCATAAAATGAAAATATCCAGTTACAAATTTTTAATCATTTTTCTTTCTCATTAGCTCTTGAACATTTTCCAAACCCATCAAAACTTGTTTGGATAAAACAACGGTTATCTTGAAAATTTTAACCCCATCCAAGAAAAAAAACTACCCCCACCACCATCCCCATCTCTAAACATATTTACTTTATTTATTTGATATAAAACTAATTTTTTTTCGACTAAACTAACTTTACAAAATAATAATGAAAAATAATGAAATGATCTGAATATTCGGGCAATTAATTATCATTATTATCATCATCATTATAATCATAATCATCGTCATAATTATAATTATAATCATCATCATTATAATCATGATGATGATGATGATGATCCAATCTTGAAAAAAAGAAAAATAACGTTATTGCATATTGCATTTAGGCAATTTGCGTGTTGTCTATCGTCGTCTTTTCTTGGCTTTTCGGTACAGTTTTTTGGCTTTTTCTTTTGACTTTCTTGCCTTCAAGATTAGATAGGTAGGTATTTACGAAAAATACGAAAAAAACCTATTAGTTCCATTCGAATGGTTAAAATTGACTTTTTTCTTTTCTTTTCTTTTCTTTCTTTCATCATCACCATTATCATTATCGTCATTAGTTTTCATTATTAATAATAATGGATGATACTAACGCCCAACAAACAAAAACCTTAAAGGTACCAACCAACCAATCAACCAACCTGCCATCATCATAGTTTTCAATAACGTAATTATCATTAACAATGATGATGATAATGATTATTGTATTAAGAAGATGAAAGAAAGAAGATGAAAATTACACTATAACTTTATTTTTTACTGTTTCTTTAGTTTTCAAACGATAATAATTCACAAGCGGATCAATTTTTTTTGTTTGTTTAAAGATAACCATAATAATCAACTAATCAAGGATTAACTTTTTTTGAATTTTATTTCATCATTTTTATGATCCACAAAAAAAACTTACAATTTTACAATTACAACTTTGTAAAATTACAATTTTGTTTTAGGATAATCTTTTTGATAATGGATTATTAATTATGGATTGAAAAAGAAAGAAAGAAATGCATCTATTTTAACATTTGGGGGTCATAAAGTTTGGACATGTTTTAATCACACCAAGTTTATGATGATCAGGATTGAAATGTTTTTTTCATTTTTACAAACGACAAAATCTGTCAATCAAAAAATCAAAAAAATCCCATTGCAGTTATTGCAGCTTTGTTTTTTTATTTCAAAAAACAAAAACAACAACAAAATAACTGAATTAAACATCCTTTAAATGATTTCAATCAATCAATCAATCAATCAATCAGAAAATCAGAAAAGTTTTCATCAATACATCCGAAACTGATTTTTGTTGTCGTTAAAGTTGTTGTTGTTAATCTCTCTTCCTTTTTGCGCGCTAACATCAACAACAATTTTTTTTTTTTTTTTTTTGAAAAAAAATCCAGATATTCAGATCTATGTACCACTACCAAACGAAGACGACAACGACGAGATTGTTTCGCTGTTGTTTGAAAAGATCGGCATTCCAAAAAAAACAGGCGATCCTTTCATTCATTCAGTTGTTGGATGCAGATCTTGTTGTTCACAGTGGTTCCACATTGACTGAATTCATTTTCAATTTTCAACCGCAGTTATCCTGTATTGTGCACCCATCAAATCAACATCATTTATATGCCCAAATACAGTGTGTCTCTGCTTGATGATGAAAAAAAACTTGTTTTTCCTCATAACTTTACCACCACCGTACATCATATTTTTTTTTCTTCGCTTTGTGGTGATTATCACCATCATCCTCAACATGATCGATGATCGATGAAAACACAGAAGAAGACCAAACTAAACTAAGTAAGTAAGTAAGCGAAAAAAACAACTCTCGCCTTCAAAATCAATGGCAAAAATTTCATTCATTGTGCGAATGTTGTTCGTTTTGTTTGGATGTTTTTTTTTGGGTAGAATCTCTCTTTGTGTTTAGAGAAAAGCAGAAAAAGTTTGAATCCTGGTTTCGTGGATTGACGATCAAAAGTTTTTCATTCTCACTTGATGAGATTTCCGTTTCGTTTTTTTCAAAATAAAAAAAAACTTTTTTTTTCACTGTGTTCGAGATAATCAAGTGTTAAATCGAATTGAATTTACATCCAATTTTTTCTTATTGATTATACTGTGTTCATCATCATCATCATCATTATCAATTCGAAAAAAATTATTGATCTTTTCATCGATCTGCAATCATCAGTGTGACAAAAAAAACCAAACACACACTGTATGATTATCCACACAAACAAAAAGTTGCAAAAAAAAGTTGTCTGATTTCCTCATCTTTTCTGCGAAAGTTTCCGATTTCTTTCTTGGAAAGTTTCTGATCCTCGATAGTTGATCATCATCATTATCGACAAGTTCATCATATCGAAATTATTTTTGTGATTTTCTGATTACATTCAATATCGGTGTAATCAAATTTCGCGTTAATATTTCTTTGTGGTCGAAATAGTCGTCATCGACTGATTTGATAAAAATTTTTATCGCAAAAATCAAAACATTTTTTTCATTTTGTTTTTTGTTTACATTTTCTCTTCTGCATTAACCCAGAAAAACAAAACATTCACAGAAAATCAGAAAACATTTCAATCAAAAAAAAAAAATCAAAACTTTTCAGTTTTGCTCAATGATCATCCGTCATTCGCTCGAAAGAAGATCGATAACCAAAAAAACAGGAATATTTTTGTGAATGATTTTTGAACAAAAAAAAAATTAACCCCGTTTACCCAATCGATTACAAACTCTAACCTTGTGATGTTTACTGTTTCATCAACAACAACAACAAATGTTTTTTTACTTTGTCGAAACATAAAATGACTGATTAAAGCGAAAAACAAAATACATTTCATTACTGTTATAGCTGCTTGTTTGTTTGTTTTTGTTTTTCCGCTGAATCATCATCATCATATCTCAGTCAAAAATCAATCGATCAAAATCATTCAAAATACCAATATCGGTCTCTCGGTGTTTATGTTTTGTTTTTTTTCACGCCAAAAACTAACTAACTCCTTGAACATCAATAACATCCAAACAACGAGCGAAAAATCGACATTTTTTTGGCAAAAACAAGCAAAGGAGGATCGAAATAGAATCGAACGATTTTTTTTGTTTGATTCGAACGATATTTTCATGTTATTAGATTTTTGCATCTTTCTAAACAACAACGAAAAATTCATCTTCCGTTTATTGAATGTTCTTTCTCTGTGTGTTTGTTCAATCAATAAATTTCATTGCATGTTCAGTTTCAGCATTTTTTTTTATTTTGCAAGTTAATTTTATTTATATAACGTGTTTGTGTTTTCACTGTGTTTCATTCAGTGTGTCTGTGTTTCTGTTGTCTAATAATAAAAATATTCATTTGGGATTTGAAATGAATTCTTGTGTGTTGTATGTATGGATGTTTATCAAACTTTACTTACACGCTAGACATA